AAAGAAAATTGTTTTTGTACAACACTGTTAACAATATTGATGTAATATTTAGTATGTATTCATTTGTTGAAAGTCATGCACATATCAATGGATACGATGGTGGATAAAACTTGATTGCACACATTTGATAAAATATAATAAGCCACGTAGGTTAAAAGAGGAAGAGATAGCATAGACTTGCTAATTGAGACCTTTTATTGTAAATTTATGTTTGTATGCATAAAATCTATTTACATTTTTTTAGTGTGTAAGTGCTGAGATCTCCCACGTGCACTCCCTCCCTTCATACTAGCCAATTCATCCCATCCCACAACATAAAATATATTTACTTGATGCTATTTTCGATAGCTTAAAGAGTTAAATATAAAAAAGGTAAGAAATGATATAATTTTATAAAAGGTTTTGAAACAAACATACATGTATATGTGTGTGTGTGGGTTTTTTGTTCTGTCATTTTAAAGTCATAAGTTTGTACTTGATTTTTTTTCATAAGTAGCTGTTTTATTAATATCAACCGAAACTTTAATTTAAGGATTTGCTAGTTAGTACAATTATTAAGTTATAGAGCTTCCAAATTGATTCTATACATGTTGGCCAGCGATAGGATTCAAAATTGGATAAGCATAAGACTTCATAAAGAGGAAAATATTATATTGTCTGGAATGCAGTATTTGCTAAACAGTGGATATGTGAAGAAGTTTTCATTCCATTAAGTCAAGCTTCTTAATGGGTTTTGTGATTCCTATCTTCATTATCAACTTACAATAAAATTAGGAGAAAGAAAATTTGTGTTTATGAGATTGTTTCCTTGATACTCTCTTCTAATATAAACTTGAAAAGTATAATAAGATTGACCTGAAAGTTCATCCCTACTGATACCAACTAGCGTATAGTATCTAGAAAAGAAGGTTACATTTTCAAAGGAAAGCGAACAATTCAAGAACTCCAAAAAAAAAAAAAAATCAGGAAGTGCTCATACTATTAAGAATTAGCAAAACTCAAAGTTGGTGCAAGTAAATTAATTAACCTTCAAACTCATATAGTATTCATGTAAAAGGAGCATTACGAAATCTAATTTTGTATGGACAACCAATTACGTATAGAGCTAAACACTTGTGAACAAAGACAATTAATGTTTTTTTTTCTCCAAATAATAGCTTAGAATTTGAGGAAAAATTTAGAATCCCAAAAAAAAAAGGAAAAAAAGGGAAAGTACATGAAGTTAATTTAAGACTTATTCCACACATTTCATACCTCAAAACTTTTTCATGTTTGCTGCATAATAACAATACAAAATCTAAAATCAATCTTTTTGAATAGCTGATGGTATCATGACATGATCCCTTCTGATCAAGTTATTTACATGTAACAAAATAAGCGAGAGACAGATGAGTTGAAGGCAAACGTTATATTCGTTATAATAATATTGCAATTGAATAAAAAACAGCATCTTTGCTAGTCTCAATTCCTACATAGAATAAGACAAGGCTCCTGCTACAGAATTTGCTATTTGTTTTATCACTTTAGTCCTCAGACTTTTTTCCAATACATTGTTTAATATCTCCATTTTATATGTTAATTTTAAGTGTCATGAAAGCTGATTAAGGAAAATATTAATTTTCCTTAGACGAAGCTACCTTTCTTTAGTCTAAAAATTTACAGCATGAAAGAATACTATACTTTCAAACACATATGCAGCTATATTCGTGTTGTGTGTTTTAGTACTGTTTATCTTCATTCGAAACTTAAATCCAACAACTATTTTGTCCAATCTCTATTTTTTAGGACAAAAATAATAGAGAAGGAAAAATTCATGCTATTATGATTTATTCTCCACTATTGTATGAGTAAAATAAAGGCTACATGAAAGATACTTTTCAAAGTAATTTGTACATTGGGTCTTTCTATGTACGTAGATGAAAATACAGTTCAAGGTTCATATACATGCCTTGAGCATTAATTTAGATTAGCAGTAACAAGTGATCTTAAAGTTCTTCTGTCTTTTTGTGTCATCATTTAAAAATCAATATTAAGAATGGTCTTAAAAATTGTCAAATGGTAGGAAATTTGGGTTTTTTTTTGTTAGAAATGTATTAAGTTGAATCATATCAAGCTTTATAAATAAAAATCACCCATAAAGTTTGTGTAACGCTACATTGAACACAATTGAGTAACTATCATGTTCAAAAAGCAACATGTTATATTCATTCATGTAAGCTTACTTATTTTTGCTGATGGAATAAGCATTCATAGTTACACTTATAGTTCTGCATTGAGCTACTTTGTAAGAATAGAGATCGACTTACCAATGTCTAAGAAAAAGAAAAGAGGATGTTTTCTAAGCAAAGTATTCAAGCACTATTTTACATTTAAGAACGTAACTCAACTTAAGGAATCTACTTAGTATAATGGAATAAATTGTTACGCATTACGGCATTGTTTATTTATAATGTTGAACCTGAAAGTTTCCAAATCGAAATGTAGGAAATTTGTAAACCTTTTATACAACAAATCACACAAAAAATTGCTATACATTAGGTTCTCATACCAAAGTAAGTTTGTCCACTATAATGGCCCCAGGTTTGTGGGCATCAAAAGTGAACTAAAAGCTACAATTACAATCAGAGAATAAACTAAAATCATATAGGGAGAGGAGCACTTGCACCATCATGAGTTACTTCAAAAGGCTTTTTACTACAATAAAAAATCCATTACACTTGCAAGCTCTATTAAAGTTTATCCGTACTTAGGAGTATAAGTTAGGACATGCCATGCCATTACTTCTCTTTCGTCATTTTCTTGATAAGTTAAATTGATTATTAAAAAATCTACACTTTAATATGAAGAGCTGCATGAAGTTTGCAGAAGTAATTGGTTCAAGTAAATCTAATGATTTTAGCATTCACTACAATAGCAACAAAAAATTCGCTGCAAAAAGATGATGATTTTGCCAGTTATCTCATGGTCTTACATGAAAGGATGGCATAATTGACATTGATAGGAATGGTGCCTTATATATTTAGTGACTTGAAAGATACGAATTTAGAAAGAAGGCATTACCTTTTCTTCTCTTGAGACTGGGGAAGTTCTATTGTGGACCATATGTTTCTGAGAAAGTGCACGTGTGAAAAATTATGTTTTTGTCAATCACTACCAGTGATACAAAAAATGTTGAAAAAATACATTAACAATCACCTGTATGTTGCAGCACCAAATGTAAAAGTAAAATCAGAAGATATTCTTGGGCATTAAGAAGGACTTACTAATAAGTAGGATTTAAGAATCACTACTTTCCATAATACTCGATCCAAAAGATAACCCATAAAATTCAAACTTTTTAAGACAATCACAGCTTTTAATCCTTGATTCTAAATAAATCCAAGTTGAATGAAATTTCGAATTCAGGATGGGAATTTACTACTCAAATACAAATAGCATATTTTAGGACAACAATGAACCATCAATGTTGAAGAACAATTCTTTTTTTTTTTAAAAAAAGAATGAAAAAATTAGAATATGATGGTACAGTCATGTATTAAAACATATTAACTATATTCATAAGAAAAGGAATAAATAGCTTCACTTGAGAAATTTAAAACAAAAACACCTATACTCATGCAATAACAATTAATAAACTTGAGGCTTCAATTTTTTTTTTTGTAAACACACATCACCCTTAGTTTGTTGGTATATGCTGCTGCTTTTGTAGATTGATCCTCCTGTTTTCTACATCTTGTCAACCATGGATCAGTTGCTGATTGTTGGTTTTTGTCCGACTTATATATCTAATGGCTGAATGACTTTGACCTCAAACAGGTTACATATAAGGTTCAAAATATCGTCAATATCTTCACATGGAAAGTATACTATCTTGATGAGTTTTGTCCTATGCTTAATTACATATTTTATGGGAGTAAATTGTGGTACCTGATTTTTCTTGACAAAGAGTTGTGGCTGGAGATTTAGGGTTCTAATTTACTTCATCGGAGGAACTAATAGAGCTTAAAAAAAAAGAAGGTAATTCAATTCAGCACTTCTCTTATGTGATATTGAGATAGGAATCATAGGATCATGAAGTGACATGAATTAGGAGTTTGCTAGATTAAATTGATTATTATCTAAGTAAGAGTATATTATGCATTACAAAAAAAAAGGAAGAAACACCATTATATTATATATTAACAGATATATATAGACACACGCACTACAAATAAATATGTGGATACATAGAAACATGAATAGAGGAGGAGTGCCTCCATAATTTACGTTTAACTAGGCATGCACTATTTAGTTGCTACCGTGTATCGCGCAGTTTATGCCTCTTAGTTCTGTTAGAAAATTGGCTTAATTTCTTTTAGGTAAGATTCTTATTTGGTGTGGGAAGTAACTAGTTTCCTAATTGGATTTGGTTACTTGAAGTAGTAGTCAAGTAAATTCCTATTTAGCTAAGATACTCTTTCCTACTCTATATGAGTTTAGAAAATAGTATTGGTTTCCAATTGTTATTTGGTTTTTTTGGCAGTAATGTTCCCTATAAATAGGTGGGTTGGCATACTACACAAAAGACACACACAAGGAGACACGAGGGGCATCATGTAGTCTTATACATAGGGTGTGAGAGAGGGTTCTTGGGAGATGAGAGATGGTATACAAGGGTTGGGCTTGGGTTCAAGTTGTATTCTTGTATAGGATTTTCCTCTCATAATAAAGAACAAGTTTCTCTCCGTGGACGTAGGCTCAATGGTGGAGTCGAACCACGTTAAATATTATGTGTCGTTTATCTTTCATGCTTGTGGCTTATTTGCTATTAAATTATTGTGCACTTGATATCTTAATAGTTGTTTGTTCCGCGCTTGGATCCTAACAAGTGGTATCAGAGCCAGGTTGCGAGACTGGGCAATAAAGTAAAATTCGTGGTTGGATCCTAGTTAACTATTGAGATCAAATGGATTGGTAGCTGTTACTAATTGAACAATTTAATAAGTGGTATCCTTGTTTCAATGGCTTGGCAAAAAGCATTGATGGTGAAGGATGGGAAGTCGAAAAGCATGGAGATGCTTGACGGTGAATCTAGGCAGGTGATTCAAGGATTAAGGAAAAGGTGGAGTCCAATGTTGATTTTGGATGTGAATCGGTGGAGACTTTCTCACACCTCCAACGATTGATACTTCATCCCAGTGGATTTTAGATTTTGGTTATGTTCTTTGGGTGGTGTGGCACGTGTCCCAAAGAAACAAGGAGATCTAATTTCTATGCGCCAGAAGACTCTGACAGTTACGAGTTTTTCGTTTTAGGTGGAGTCTTGAAAACCACACGTGGCGAAATAGTCCTGAAGATGGGAAGAAGTATGGTGATTTTACCACTTGGTTGCCTCAATGGTTAGGGTTAGAGCTCACAGATGGGAATCCTAGATTGCAAGTAGTAGTGAGAAGAAATCTTGCAAAGGGAGATGGTGAATTGAGACACCTTCTCACGAGTCAACTAGAGGTTAGACTCAGGGCAGCTACACATGTTCGTTTGCCGATTGAATCAATTTGGTGTCAGGACTGTATTGATTCGGGTGTGTAGTTTGGTACCATATTATTTGGTAGTTGAAGGCAAATGGTTGCTAAAAGAAATTTTCGCCATGGTGGAGATTTGTTAGGAAATTGACTTAATTTCTTTTAGGTAAGATTCTTATTTGGTGTGGGAAGTAACTAGTTTCCTAATTGGATTTGGTTACTTGAAGTAGTAGTTAAGTAAATTCCTATTTAGCTAAGATGCTATTTCCTACTCTATATGAGTTTAGAAAATAGTATTGGTTTCCAATTGTTATTTGGTTTTTTTGGCAGTAATGTTCCCTATAAATAGGTGGGTTGGCATACTACACAAAAGACACACAAGACACACACAAGGAGACACAAGGGGCATCATGTAGCCTTATACATGGGGTGTGAGAGAGGGTTCTTGGGAGATGAGAGATGGTATACAAGGGTTGGGATTGGGTTCAAGTTGTATTCTTGTATAGGGTTTGCCTCTCATAATAAAGAACAGGTTTCTCTCCGTGGACGTAGGCTCAATGGTGGAGCCGAACCACGTTAAATATTGTGTGTCGTTTATCTTTCATGCTTGTGGCTTATTTGCTATTAAATTGTTGTGCACTTGATATCTTAATAGTTGTTTGTTCCGCGCTTGGATCCTAACAAGTTCAATATCAAAGACCAAAGACTTTTCGTTACTTTCGTGATTCCCCTTTTCACAAATCAAGGAAAGTATGTAACACGTCCATGGACCTTTCAGAAGTCTTCCTATGTGACTTGTTCCCTGGCATAGTGCATTTCATACTTCCATCTCAAGTATCAAGCATGCCTGAATGCAAAAATGTACCACTGTCTACTTTTGATCTGCCTGATTCTGATCAAGATGATCTCCAAAAGTATATTATTCTCATGTTTCCTGCTAATTTGTTTGATTAGCTTCAACACGAGACAGATTTATGCCTTTAAGTAGTGCGTAAATACTACATATAATCCTAACAGCTCTACTGGCAGTACGTATACAGAGAACCTGAATTTCCTCCTCTCCACTTTATCCTCAAATGCTTCCTTGACCAGCAGGAATGGCTTCTACAACTTCACTGCTAGCCATGACCCCTCTAACATGGTCTATGGCCTATTTCTTTGTCGAGGTGATGTGAATCCCGATGTTTGTGGACAATGTGTAGCAAATGCCCGTGGGGAGATTCTAAAGACATTCTTGAATCGAAAGACTGCTTTTATTTCGCATGACGAATGCTTGTTGCGTTATTCGAAATGAGTCCATGTTCTCAAGAGCCGATTGGGGTATCTCCTTCTTTGCTCGGAATTCACATAATGCCACTGATCCAAACAAGTTCAACCAGGTCTTAAGAGATATGATGAAAGAGATAGCAAGTCGGGCTGCAAATGATGGCCTTGTTTGGAGTTTTTTTGTTAAATTTGTCTGCTACAAGTTTTTTAAAAACTTTAACTACAGTAATCTCAAAAAAATTTTCAAAATTTTTAACTATGTACTTTAAAATATTCAAAAATTTACGCATTTCAAAAACTTTTAAAAAAATTCTACAGTAAAGTTTTAGATAAATAACCAAAAAACTCATTTGCCAAACGGGGTTCAGGGGAGAAATGTGCTGTTCAAGAAGCTAATTATTCCCCATCTCAGAGGATATACGCCCTTGGACAGTGTACTCCTGATCTTTCCTGGAATGACTGCGAGAAGTGCCTTAGAAATGCCATTTTTCAAATATCTGGATACTGTTCGAATAGTTTGGGCTGTAAAGCTATGTTTTTTTAGCTGTAACATTAGGTATGCACTGTACAAGTTTTACAGTTCTGTAAGCCCAACACCCAAGCCTGCATCGAATCTTGGTCCTACTCCTCTCCCTTTTCCCCCTCCTTCCAATTCCACTAATAGTGAAGGTCATTTCCGGTTCTTACTAAATTGATATGAATTTATCTGAACTCTCAATTGCAATTTTATTTTAGGAGTAGTTAGTAATTCAAGTCTTTCACCCTTGTAGCTATTGAGCCCACCTGGTAGTCAACAACTACACTCATCGTATTCCCATGTGGATTGTATGGATTTCATTACTTTTTCTCCTTTGATCCGTTATTTTGAAAAATCCAGTATTAGAATTTAAATTGTCTCATTTGATAAAGAATTTAAAGGAATAAATGAATTTGAACATTTCACTTTTTAGATCCTTACCTACTTTAAAAGCATATTTTTGAGATAAAGAACTTTTATCAAAATACTCAGAGGGGGGCCGAATCTCAACAAAAACAATTGTTGCAATCGTTGTCCTGGTCTCTATTGCCATTTTGCTATTTATTGTGGGCTTCTACATAGCAAGGAGATCCAGGAAGAAATATGATGCCATTATCGCAACAATCGGTATATTATAAGGACTAAGAAGTGCAGTTGAAGTAAACATATTTATCATTCTTAAAAGGGTCGATTCATTTAATTCACTAAGTTTGTATCATTTTTTTTTGTAGGTACAAGTGAAATCTCAATCACAGAATCATTACAATATAACCTCATTGATATTCAAGCTACCACGAACAACTTTGCCATTGGAAACAAAATTGGTGAAGGTGGATTTGGTCTTGTATACAAGGTACATTAAGTTTAAGCCATTTTCAAGTATGCTGAAAATTTATGAATATGATTGTCGTAAATCAAAATTTTGCTTATACTTTGTTAATTTGCAATCAGGCTACACTTCATAATGGACAAGAAATAGCTGTGAAAAGACTATCAAGAAGCTCAGCGCAAGGTACAAAAGAATTTAAAAATGAAATTACCCTGGTTGCTAGGCTTAAACACAGAAACCTGGTCCGACTACTTGGTTTCTGCTTGGAAAGAGAAGAAAAGATACTTATCTATGAATTTATTACCAACAAAAGCCCTGACTACTATCTTTTTGGTAGGCTTCAACTTCAAGTCAAATACTCGTGATTTATTTTGGAATGGTCGAGCCGTTTGTGGAAATCAAATTTTGTAGGCAAAGAAACTAACAAGACTTGCCATGTTTGATGTTTGCATAGACCTAGAAAAGCAGCCATTGTCAAATTGGTCAAAACGATACAAGGTCATAGGAGGAATAGCAAAGGGACTTCTTTATCTTCATGAAGATTCACGACTTAGGATTATACATTGCGATCTTAAAGCCATTAACGTATTACTAGATAGAAATATGAATCCAAAGATTGCTAATTTTGGCTTGGCAAGGCTCTTTGAAGTTGATCAAACTGAAGGAAACACAAGTAAAATCGAAGGGACATTGTAAGTTCTGCCACCCTTATCTTGTTATGCTACAAGTTTATATGATTGTAATATTGCAATAATTCCGCCATCATTAAGCCTCTAATGTTTGATTATGTTCTCCATATCTTTTTGGTCACCATCAACCTTTAAAATTTCTAATTATTGAAGCCTCATATATTCAACAAACGGTTCTAATTTGCAGTGGTTATATGGCTCCTGAGTACGCATTGCACGGCTTGTTCTCTGTAAAGTCAGATGTGTTTAGTTTTGGTGTTTTAGCTTTAGAAATTCTAAGTGGCAAGAAGAACAGTCAATTCTACCAAGCTCACCGCGGAGATGACCTTCTAAGTTATGTGAGTGCAAAATAAACATCTCATTTTCTTGGCATTTCTTGGCGTTCTCGTTGGAGAGCTCTTGTATGCATTTTAACGACATAGTCAATTCCACTATCATCACTTGCAATACATGTTGCAGGCTTGGAGACAATGGAGGGATGGAACAACACTAGCATTGATAGATGTTTATTTGGATAGTGTATTATTTGAAATATTATTTGGAATAATTACTGTAGCACTTTTTGTAATATAATGTATGTGAGATAAAAAGGTGTTTGGGAATATAAAAAAAAGGGTTAGGAAATGTATCTATGATACAAGTGAAATATTATTTGGGATAATTTCACTATCCAAGCAAACCAGGTCCAGAGTGTGAGGACTTGCAAATTCCTTATTTTTTTCTTAAAAATTCCCTTTTATTTGGAAATTATTTGGAAAGTATTACTTTATAATAGCCCTACTACCCAATCACCTCACAATAAGTGCAAATGAATATAGAAGTAGGGTTTCACTTTTCGTTTTTTAAATTAGCGTGAATTAGGGTTTTACGTCTCCGCTACGAAGTGTGGATCAAATTTGGTGATTAAAAATGAGTTTTAGAGGATATTAAGTGTGGAATTAGAGGTGATAATAATAAGTTAGTGAATTATAAGTTAAAACCCTAGTATACGCGATTTAAGGAAAAATGGCTCGAACCGACGGGTATCGCTCACTACCGATTGACCACAGCACTTGACTACCACTTCCTCATCATAAAATATCATTGATATTGGTGCAAAATATCTCCCTTATCCTCAGCCCTCTTAGCTGAAATATTTGACCAAAAAAAATGCAAGGAAAAGAAAAAAATTGAGATGGATTTTGGTTGCGACAAGTGGCAACAATCCCTTAAGTGTTGACCAACCAATTTTCCTCCATATTTATCATTAAAAAACACACAAATTGCCCTCATTTTCTTCCTCCTAGCCGTGAACAAGAGAGAGAGAGTGAGCAAGACAAAAACATCTTTACTTCATCTTGGTTTGCACCATTTGAGTGAAAGAAAACAAGATTCTAAACCGATTAACTTGTAAATTGGAAGCTTGGGAAGCTCAAGGAACCAAAAATTTCAAGGAGAAATGGAGGATAACTCTAGCAAGCTTTTTTTTGAGGTAATATGGCTGACCACTCTTTTCTTTTTCCTTAATCATGCTGGAGTTGCTTAGCAACTTGTATTTGGGCTTGTAATGCTTATATCAAGTGATTTTTGATGGTTGGGGTGATGAATTTGAGTTAGGGTTTGAATGATTTCCTTCTCATACTTGTTGTATGGATGGTATATGATGTATACAAGCTTGTATATGAGGTGGTAGTGATGGTTTTAAACTAGAAATGGGAATTATATCTTGATTATAGCAAATTTCCAGAATTGAAGTTAGTATGCACCCTGTTCTGTCCGGTTCTAGTTCACCATGTTAGAGGCCGAATTAAACTTAGCATAAAACATGAAAATTGTAGATAATGATGTTTTATAGGGTCTGTAAAATTTCAGCTCAATCCAAGCACTGTATCGTGTGAAAAGTCAAAAATACCCCTGACTGCCAAAGGAAGAACTTTAGGGACAGTTTTGACATTTCACCAATCTGACTGCGTCTGTTCACCCTAATACGTACTAGATTAGTATTTGGCCAAAACATGAAAGTTGTAGTGCTATGTCTTAGCTTTCCAATGCCCCTGGAATCACCTCGATTGGACTTCGATAGCCTGAGTTATTGTCATTTAAGTATAGTACGGTTAACTGACCTGTTTGTGAGATTCTGGTTCTGTAAATTGGGAATATGACTTGGATACACTAGAAACTGGACTAAGTGGTCTCCACCAAAATTGTAGCCCTCTGTCTTAGATTCGAAATGGTATAAGTTGCACCTCAATCTGATAAGCGTAGCCTCGGTTATGTCCGTTATGCAAAACAACGTCAAATTTGTCTTTTGTTTTTTGACGTAAACTTCATTTCCGCACATGTTCCTAGCTTGGTTTGGTACTTGTATGACTTTGAGCCTATTGAATGGCTATGGAAATGAGATGATTTTGTGTATGATTTTGGGACTGACTGAGGAAAAGAATGAAGCCATAAATGGCTGAAAAATAGGTAAATACAAAGGGCGTGCTACCCAAATTTACGTTCGAGGGCTAAACAGCAATACTTGCGACTCGAGTATGGCTTGAGAGCGAATATCACGTGAACCATCTAGAATATTTGCATCTTCTTTTATCGAGATATATAAATTAGAACTTGACCGAACTTGTACCCTTGGAAAAATAAACTTAACGACTAATAGAAATACGTTTTCTTTGTCACTACGATTCAAATGGAGATTTCAAAGTTTTACGAGCGAGCATAAGTTTTACAATATTTTACTTATATCCTTTGGTTTAAATGTACTTTTTTTCCTACCAAAATCATATTTATACTTTGTACTAGTACGTATTCAAATTTTCTTTAAATCACTTAAATCTTTGACGATTGAAGCATAATGTGTTCTTTTGATTATATTAGGGTTCATCGGTGACTGACGGTATTATCCGGAAGGATATTTTGGATATTATTTTGTGTAAATAGGTGAGTGTTCCTTGTTTGTTATATTTCCACTGACTATATGGCTTGTTGTGGATGTATGATTACTTATTCCATGTTATCCATGATTGTTAAAATGAATTTTACTAGGCGAGTGTGTACTTTATCGCACTCGACCTAAATAAATGTAAAATTTCAATGATTAAATGATTAAATGCTCGTTGCGCATGAATGTATGCTGTTTGGCTGAATTGGGCCCTTGCCCTTTGTTACCTGTCGATTCGAGCCAGAAGCGGACTCGGTCGGGCGATTTGGTGACCCTGGGTGAAAGTTTGGTATACTCGAATATTACCTTGTAGTCTTGTGGAATCCGGCTAACGTCCGGAAGGGGGTGAATGAAATAAATGAACGAATGTCAATGCAAATGAGGGGTTTTACTTACAAAAATGCATTTTCAAATGATTAGAGGAATAAGGGAATGAAGGAAGAATGAATGAACGTGTGAGGACTCGCAAAATTTACTTATTTAATCTCCTATTTCTAGCTTATTTAATTATTTATTTGGCCTTTTACCCTGAATATTATTTTCTAAGCTCTTGAGACCTAATTACATGGAAATATAGTTTCATTATATTTTTAAAGTGACTTGTTTCAGAAAATTAATTTCCGGAAGCTCGTTTAGTGAAAATAGTGAACACGTCTTTGAAAATCTTCACCGATTGAGAGTACAATAAGTTAATGAATCTCGGAGCGAACACTTAAAACGCTTGTTTGAGAACTACTCAATTATTTTGACTAGATGAGTGTTCCATATAGGAATACGTAAGTGAATAAGTCTAGGACATGCTTATTTCATGATTATTAAGTGTTAAGTATTATGTGTTAAGTATTTACCATACTCATGCCTATTTGAGGAATGTATACTTGCATTGCATATCTACATGAATTGGTTAAATGATTAACCATATCAAATGACCATATGAACTCGATACATGCTTAACTTGCTAGATTGCTTGCTTAGCCTACTCGGTTTTGAAAAATGGGGTCGAATGTGTACTTTATCGCATTCATTCTCATTTGAAATGAATAACTCATGCTTGGAAATGCTCGAATAACATGACTTGGTATGCTAAGGTTGCATACGTCGTTGGAATGAATCTCCTCGACTCTCACATGGTAAAAATGGGATAAGCTTATTTCATGATTATTAAGTGTTAAGTATTATGTGTTAAGTATTTACCATACTCATGCCTATTTGAGGAATGTATACTTGCATTGCATATCTACATGAATTGGTTAAATGATTAACCATATCAAATGACCATATGAACTCGATACATGCTTAACTTGCTAGATTGCTTGCTTAGCCTACTCGGTTTTGAAAAATGGGGTCGAATGTGTATTTTATCGCATTCATTCTCATTTGAAATGAATAACTCATGCTTGGAAATGCTCGAATAACATGACTTGGTATGCTAAGGTTGCATACGTCGTTGGAATGAATCTCCTCGACTCTCACATGGTAAAAATGGGATAACGGCCAATGATGGCCTATTAATATGACAAATGCCTGTCAATTAACCTTCACTACTCAACCGTTACCCGTCAACCGTGAACCGTTTATCAAAATCACATGACTACCTGATTACTTGATTATCTGTTTACTCGATTTCCAATTTACAAGAATATGTGATATCCGTGAATTACATGCTCCCATGAAATCAACTTGTATTGCTTACGTGCTTACGTTCTAAGTATCCACTTGATTACTTGATTATCATGAATCGCATGTTATATGAAACTGTCCATCATTGTTAGGCGAGTGTGTACTTTACCTCACTCGACCCACTCAAATGATGAATTTTACCTTTTGCTGAATTACTTGATTACTTGTGCCTGTTGTAAGCTCTAAGCTGAACTGGGCCCTGCTCATGGTTACTAACCTACTCGAGCCAGGATTGGGCTCGGTCGGGTAGGTTGGAACTTTGGGATACCGTTTCGATATACTCGAGTATTACCACTGGAGGGATAAGGTGATGGACAGTCAAACCGAGGGGATCCGGAAGTCATAAGGTGCAGATGACCGACAGAGTTCCACTGGAACACCGTATCCTACAATATATGTTTACTTTGTATCATGATAATTGTTCATACTAAAATGTCAACATGAAATCCTGAGCTATGCCTGTGATATGCTCCATACCTGTTACCTGTCCAATGTACTCATATCATGATACCTGTTTCATGTTAATGCCCCATACCTGTAACATGCTTAATTACTCGCACCTGTAATAAGCTCCAATCACTCGTGAACTATACATGCCAATGTCTTGAACCATGATGACTGTCTCATGATAAATGTCTCATACCATGATAAATGTCTCAAATTACCCGTACAATGATTATCACCTCATGATAACATGCCATTGTGTAACCTTGAACCATGCATATGATATGCCCAACTTACTTGATTTATTTGAACTGTTAGAGTGTCTTGGAACCTCACTCGGTTGTGTAGCTCATCCCACGTTATGGTTTTCTTTTACAGGGTTCGAGACCAAGGGTGCTCGTGAGTAGTACTAGATTGTTTTCTTTTGAAAACTTTAAGTTATATTATAACGGATGGCTATTGTACCCTTTTCCA